TTTTCTATTGATAGTCAATAAATTTAACATCTAGAACCACAAAATTTGGTTGCATCAACTTCTCTGTAAAAAAAAAAATTTATAGAAACAACATTTTAAAGTATTTATTAGGTTTCACATATATAGGGATAGTTTGGAACCTCTCAAAATGGGAGGGGGATTGGGTCAAGAATCCTGATTGGAGAAAACTAAGTCAGTATTTGCATACCTTTTTGCAAGGGCAAAAGGGCTCCTAAAAATTGGTTCTATCTTGATCCACCCTCCTCCTTATCAAAACATAACCTGTTTATCTCAAAACTGGATTAGGATCAATCATGACCCAATTTCTTGCCAATGACCGATATGATATCTAAAGCTTGTCATAGTCTAATTAGGCTAAATTAGAATGGCTAATGAAGTCTACTCCTTGTGATTAACATAAAATATGAAAAATATGGTAACAAATGATTAATTCAACTTGTAACTATCACTAAACTAACTACTCAGTTCAAGTAAACCTACTATAGAACCTAGTGGGCAGCTCCTATGAGCCAACTTGCAAGCCCACAAAGCCTGTCCTCTTCCATCAAGAGTCCCACCCAAGATAGTCAAACCCTGCACATTCTGAAACTCCAACCATTTAATCGCGGATGAGCCAATACTACTCGTAGCGATGATAGTCCCTTTAATTAACACCAAAATCGAATTTTTGCACGGGCCCCAGAAAAGCGCGCTACTGACATAAAAGTTTCCCTGAGGAATGTAAACAATTGAAGGCTCTCTCGACCTGCAGGCCATCCCCCACGCTTTCAAGAATGCGTCCGCTGAGTCAGTTTGGCCATCAGGCCTTGCACCAAAGTCTACCACATTGTAGGCTGATAATCCTAAAGTTGAGAATGATGTGAGGATGAAAATGAAGAGGATAGTGTTGGATTTTGCCATTGGATTTTTGTGTTGTTGAAGAGTTTCATGGTTTGATTGTGTATTTATAGGTAGATCAAAGAATATAGTAACATGAACTAGCATATAATTTTTGCTCGAACTTATTGAGAGTCTTTGCATATGCGTTGGTGCTTATGTGTTGCGAAGATCAACTTATAAGGCAATCATGTGGTCATGTTAGCATGCACTTAATGCATAGAGGATTCTTTCGAGGAGATCTGAGTCCTTGAGTAAGTCAATTGCACAAAGATATGAACAATGATAAACTTCTAAGATGTGTACGTTATTGCTTAAGCAAGTCTTATTATGGTGGCTTAATGGAGTTAACTTCTGTCTGTCCTTTGAGCAAACCCCATGTGCATAAGGGATGATGAGATTGTAAAAGTGATGAACACGGCGAAGAACAGCTCAGGAAACAAGCAGAAAACTGTCAGGCAGCTTGACGGTCGACCGCGAGATCAGCTGCGGTCGACCGGCAAACGTGCACACTACAGGGTGCGTTTTCGGATTTCTATTCGGTCGACCGCGGCGTTAAGCGCGGTCGACTGCGGACCCTGTATTTGATTTTCTCAGTTTCTGTCATTTTGTCCGGTCGACCGTGGAGTCAAGTGCAGCCGACCGCGGAGTCAAGTGCGGTCGACCGCGAGTTGGGTCTGGGCCTGGGTTTTTGTTTTCTGACTCATTTCGTTTTGTGTTGATATATAACCCTAAACCCGATTAATTAGGGTTAAGCAAGGACGATTTGAGTAGATTTTTAAGAGAGTATTGTGCATCCTTTGTGGGAAGATTTGAGAGAGATCTAGAGAGCTTTGTTTAAGGGTTTTTGGTGAGATTTGTAACCCTATTTGTATTCTCTTGATTTCTAATAGTAAGAACCCCTCCTTGCCCCGTGGATGTAGGCAACTTGCCGAACCACGTAAATTCGTTGTCTTGCTATGATTTGTGATTTGTGCTTGTGTTTGGTTGTAATCTTTCTCGTTGTCTTGTCATGCACTATTTGGTTTCGAGTTATGCTGTGCATAACAAGTGGTATCAGAGTTTGACTTAGGGCGTGTTCGAAGGATTCGCTGAAGGATTTTTACTTGGAGAGTTAGATCTATAATATGGAAGAAGCAAGAATACTAGGGTCATCTCTTACGAAGGCGATACAGAGTCTGAGCATCAATAACACTAAGATTGATATTCCGAAGTTCGATGGAAAGATTAATTTCGGTTTGTGAAGGTGACAGGTGATGGATACGTTGGATGCACAGAATTTGGAGGAGACTCTTGAGTTACAAGAGAAACTTAAAGACATGGAGGATAAGGTTTGGAAGAAGATGAATAGTAGGGCTTATGAAATTATTCGGTCATGCTTGACGCTGGATCTTACTTATGATGTGATGAACGAGACGTCAGCGAAGAGATTGTGGGAAACGCTCAATGAGAAGCATCTTACAAACAATATTGAGAATCAACTTCACTTGAAGAAAATGTTTTACTAGTTCAAGATGAAGATGAGAGTTTCTAGGGAGCATGTAAATAACTTCACGAAGTTACTTTCAGATGTGGCCAATGTGGATATCATGGTTGAGGATAAAAACAATATGATGCTAATTTTGTGTTCGTTTTTGGAGGATGATTATGGTACGTTTGTTCTCACTATAATCAATGGAATAACTATTGTTAGCTACAAGGAGGTGATCTCAGCAATGGTGAACTATGAGTTGAGATAGAGTGATGGCGAACCCTCCGATAAGACTTCAGGAGATGCATTAGCAGTTCGAGGTCGTAGTCCAAACCGTTGCTAAGTCAATCGCTCAAAATTGAAGAATAGATATGGCTATAAGAGTGTTGGTAGAAATCAATGTCGTTTTTGTGAAGAAGAGGGACAATGGAAGATCGACTGCCCAAAGTTGAAGGACAAAGCTGGGAAGAATAAGTGAAAAGATGTACAAGCTTCAAAAGTGAATATTGTAAAAGCTGTTGATGAACATTCAGATTCAGATTCTTTAGGCTATTCGTGTCCTGCATTACCGTCGGTTTGCTATGCCGACTTTACGAAGTGGATGTTGGATTCGAGAGCCACATATCAGATTTGCCCTAGGAGGGATTGGTTCTCCAGCTTTAAGGAGCTGGAAAGAAGGGATGTCGTGCTTATGGATAATGATCACGTATGTTCTATTGGTGGTATTGATTCAGTCCGGATCAAGTTGCATGACGGAGTGGTTAGGAAATTAAAAGAAGTGAGATTCGTGCTGCAGTTAACGAAGAACATCATTTCTCTTGGTACTTTAGAGACAGCAGGTTATCGGGTGATCTTAGAGGATGCTACTGTAAAGGTTACGAAGGGTTCTATGGTGGTGATGCGAGTTATTAGGAAAAATAACCTATACTACTTAAAGGGCAAGACAGTTACTAGGGGTCTGACAGCTTCTATCACTATAGAGAAGGACACTACCAGCTTATGACACATACGTTTAGAAGACACTGGTGATAAGTTCCTACAGACATTAGCGAAACAGGGGCTAATGAAAGGTGCGAAAACCTGCAAGATGGAGCTGTGTGAGCATTGTGTACTTGGAAAGAAGACTAGAGTAAAGTTCGATACCGTTATTCACAACATCCAACGTATATTGGATTACATTCACATAGATGTTTGGGGCCCTTTCTAAGCACACTTCACTTGGTGGGGTCAGTTATTTTGTCATTTTTATTAATGACTATTCCAGAAGAAATTGGGTATATACAATAAAGCATAAACATGAGGTCCTGGATATTTTTGTGGAATGGAGAAAGAAAGTGGAGCTACAGAAGGTAGAAAGGTGAAAGCTCTTCGTTCAAATAATGGCAGAGAGCACAAGAGTGATTCATTTCTGTAGTTTTGTCAGGATCACGATATTAGACGACACTTCATAGTTCGAGTGACACCGCAATAGAACAGGATGACTAAGAGATTAAACTGTACCTTGTTAGAGAAGGTGCGATGTATGATGACACAGAGTGGATTGCCTAGATCCTTTTAGGCTGAGGCTTTAGTTTATGCAAGCTATCTCGTTAATAGGTTTTCGTGCACTGTGATACAAGGGAAGACTCCTATGGAGCGTTGGTCTGGTTCAATGGCTAGTGACTATAAGTCGCTTCGGATATTTAGGTGTCCTCCATATCATCATATTAATGATAGAAAATTGAATCCGGTGGCGAGGAAAACAGTCTTTGTAGGATTTAGAGAATGTGTTAAAGGCTTCAAGTTATGGGATCCATAAGATAAGAAGATAGTCATTAACAAAGATGTAACATTTAATGAGGCGTACATGATGAGGACTTAAGTTCCTCGGCAGATGGAAGAAGACCAGATTAGTAGGATATCGCAGCAGGTGAAGGATGATATGACTCCACCCACTCCAAATAGTATTGTATCTATTGAGGCTCCTACAAAGGTGATACTGGAAGGAGATGAGATGACAGATGGGCATTTGGAGGATACAGTGGATGGTAAGACTCAGGAGCAGGGTTATTTTTAGGAGTCCATTGCAGCACATAGAAGAATAATTCGTCGGCCAGTTAGATACAATAATGTCATAGTTGCATATGCTTTATTAGTGGAGGTCATTGATAATATGGTTCCTTCTACATTCAGTGAGGCAGAGTCTGTCTCTGATTCGATCAGGTGGAGGGAAGCTATGGAGGAGGATATATGGTCTCTTCAGAAGAACGATACTTGAAAAACTTGCAAAGCTACCTAAGGGAAAGAAAGCTATTGGTTGCATGTGGGTATATGTAAAAAAAAGAGGGATCTTCTATTGGAGACATTAGGTACAAAGTCAGATTGGTTGCTAAGGGATATGCACAGCCTAAGGGCGTTGATTATAACAAGGTATTTTCACTTGTTGTGAAGCATTCGTCGATTTAGATTTTATTAGCATTGGTGGCACAACTGTATTTGGATTTAGCCCAGATGGATGTTAAGACAACCTTTCTATACGGAGATTTAGATGAGGAGATCTACATGACACAACCCTTGGGATTCAAAACTGTAGGAAAGAAAGATTTGGTGTGCAAACTGAAGAAGTCTCTTTATGATTTGAAGCAATCACCGGGATAGTGGTACAAGAGATTTGACAATTTTATGATTGACCATGGATACACGAGGAGCTCATATGACCCATGTGTTTACATGCACAAGCTACAGGATGGTGAGTATATTTATTTGTTGTTATATATTGATGATATACTTATTGCTTCTAGGAATTCTTCGGCTATTCGAAAGTTAAAAAAGGAGCTGTCATCCCGAGTTTGAGATGAAGGATCTTGAAGAAGCTAAGAAGATATTAGGAATGGAGATTGAGAGAGACAGGGTGAAGGGGAGATTGAAGCTTACACAGAGGAGTTAGTTACAGAAAATGTTAAAGGAATTTAGCTTTAATGGTAATGCAAAGTCTGTGAGTACTTCATTGGCTCCCCACTTCAAGCTTTCAGCTAATATGTCATCTGTTTTAGTTGAGAACAATGATTACATGTCGAATGTTCCATATGCCAGTGCGGTGGGTAGCTTGATGTATGTGATGGTGTGTATGAGGTTAGATTTGTCACATGATGTGAGCATGGTATTGAGGTACATGCACGATACCGAGAAGGGTCATTGGGAGGCTGTGAAGTGAATTCTAAGGTTGTTTGGTGAAAAATTTGTAGTAAATAAAATGAAAGAAATTTAATTTGTATTCTCTCGATCTTAATTATAATTTGAATTCCGATTAGAAAAAAGAGGAGAATGATATGGATTCTCCCCTTTGTTTAATTCTGGGTTTTTCACAGTAGCGATTGAGTGTCTCCTTCGAATGCTCGCGTCGAATTTGCTCTTCGTTGACGATCCGACCATCTTGTCTCGCGGGAACAATTAACTTGTGTGGCAAGTTTGATGGAGAACTCTTAACGAGTTTAAGAACTCAGAGCGAGTTTAAACTCTGTAACAGAGTTAATTTAAACCGAAAATCGATTAATAAGCCAAGGATGAAAGCCCT